ACGCCATGAGCTGCAGCGCTGCGGTTCTGGCTTGCGATAGAAGCGGGCAAGGGCAACGGGCGATTTGGTTGTTCAAGGTTTTGCAGGCTCAATTCCAATCTTGGGGTCAACGAGTGCGGGGAAGGTAACTAGCCGCAGCATGCATTAGGGAAATTCGTGAAATCGAAGATGGAGCCCCAAGTCATCAACGACAACGCTAGCACGAGCGCGAGCGAGAATGGTCGAAACTGGCAGCGGGCACTGTTGCTGCTCAGCGAGGGAGGATGCGAGGTTGGAGCCGACATCATCGGCTACAACTTTGGAACTGGAGCGCGCGAGAAGGCTGAACGAGTTCACCACATCCAGGTCGTCCTCGGGAAGGCACGTCATTGAAAACTCGACCTGGACCTCACCAGTGGCTAAGCTGGAGTCCGATGTCATCTGTACTGCAATGCTGGGCGAAGAGCGTGCGACAGTGGCCAAACCTGCGTGGCCCCCCACCGTGCTCACGGCCCCCGGCCGCGCATCCGGCGGTGCGGGGCTGCTCCTGAGCGCTCCGATGAGCCCCAAGACGGCCCGAGAAAGCTCCAAGACGGCCCAAGCGCTCCCTTGGGCGGCCCGAGCTTGCATCCCCGGGGGCCCCAGCAGCGCCCAGGTCGCCCTCGGAAATAGAGGGCCCCTGGACAGGCCTTGACGGGAGTAAATGGACGATGTCCTATTGTTTTTTCTATAATTTCCGCGTTCTCCCTTTTCTTGCTTCCCACACGCCCGAGACGTCCCGGAAGCCCCCGATCTCTCCCCAAGACGGTCCAGGAGGCCCCGCCAAGAGCCCCGAGTCGGCCCAAGAGGTCCCCAAGATTGCCCCAGAGAGGCCCACGATACCCCCATAGAACTTCTGGTGGCCCCCAAGACAGCCCCAAAGCGCCCCAGAAGCTGCCGAACAGGCCCCAATGCAAGCTCCAAGACAGTCCGAGACCCCGACCATGGCCCCAAGACGGCCCGCGGGGCCCCCGAGACGGCCCACGAGAGCCCCAAATGATTCAAGATGGCACCATGAGGCTCTAGAGAGACTCCTAGGAGGGCTCCAAGAGGGGCCGCAGGGAGTCCGCGGGGCCCCCGAGACGGCCCAAGAGAGCCCCTAAATGGCCCAACGTGGCCCCACGAGGCTCCAGAGAGACCCCCAGGAAAGCTCAAAGCGGGGCCGCAGGGAGTCTATACCGCGGCCTTCCCGCAGCCCCCAAGGGGCCACGAACTCCCCAGGGACCACTCCGAGATGCCCCAGGGCCTCCCAAAAGACTCCGGCACTTGCCCAGGAGCTCCCCAGAAGAGCGCCTCCATCCACGGCACCCTTTCGCCGTTTCTCGAACGCCAGACGCTCCCGAGAAAGCCCCGGGACCCGAGGCACTCGCCAGACCGCTCCGAGATGCCCCCAGGGCCTCCCAAGAAACCCCGCCGGTTCCCGCAGAGTTCCCAAGAGAGCCTCCAGCCCCGACCGCGTGTGGCTCCCAAGTAGCCTCCCATTCGCCTCCAAGAACAACGGCCCAACAAGAGCCCTAGGCACTCCCAAAACATGCCCGCCCATCCCAGGACGCCCCCGAGCGCGCCCCAAGGCGGGCCAAGAAGGCCCCTGAGCAATCCCAAGACAGCCCAGCGATGCCCTCACACACCCCGCATACAAGATGCGACCCCCAGTACAGCCCCAGAGGCTCCCAGCCCGCCCCCCGACGCGCGCAAGACGGCCCTAGCGCTGCCCAAGGCGGCCCACGAGGCGGCCCAACAAGGCGGTCCAAGAAGGCCCCTGAGCAATCCCACGACAGCCCAACGAAGCCCGCACTTCCTCCATACACCCTCCCCTCCTCCCTCCTCTCTCGCCCCCGATCGACCAGACAATGGTGCCCTTCTCCTGTCCGTCCTGCTTCGCCTCCCTTCGGTTCTCCACCTCCACCTCCACGTCCACGCAGCTGTATGGACCAAGCCGTTGTGTTTTCGGCCCCACAATGGTGCGTGGGGCTTCCGCGCTGCCCTTGCGGCCGGCCGCGCATGCCGGGCGCCTGGTCGTGCCCGCGGGGCATCCGAGCCCGGTGCGCAGCGTGCCACCAGCGCCGGTGCCGCACACTCGTGAAGGTCCGCCGCTTCGAGACGCGTTGCGGCCTCCTTCTCAAGCAGGTCAGCGTGGGCAACCGCATTGCCCTGTTCTGGTGGTGCGCCGTCGATCGCGAGGTCTCCCGGATCCAACGCGACGAGCTCGACACCCCCAGGAAAGACGCCGGCGGCGCCTCCTTCCCTCCAGACCTGCGCCGCCGCCTTCGCAGACGGCTGGGGGACGTCAGCCGGCGCGACGGCCCCACTGCCCGTCTCGCACAGGCACGCATCCCTGAGGGCGCCAGCCAGAGGCAGAAGGTCTTCGATTTCGCGCCCCGCCGCCTCCTGCAACGGAGCTGGCTGCCTGAAGTCTCTTCGCGACTGGGGCTCCCGGGCCCGCGAGCGCCTTGCGCGTTCAGCCCGGGCCGCTGGCAAGAGTGGCGCCGTGGTCGTGGGCCCTCCCGGCGTCTCCAGGCCCCTCGGGAACGCCGCGACGCCCGGGGGAAAGAAGAAGCGACGCACTGCCTGGCTGAAGCTGTGGCGCGCCAGCGCGTCCACGCCCCTCGAGTCTGCCTGGGAGGTTTTGAAGGAGATCCTGCTTTTCCTACTTCAAGCCAAGATTCGCAGCGTCGCCGAATCTCGAACTTCGGCCAGGAGACTTCGCGAACGACCTCATTGAGAACAACGCCCTGTCTGCCGCCAGGCCTGCCCGTAGCGAGCGAACTGCGTGGCCAGGGCGCCGCGCCCGGGCGCCACGCAGGCCCTGGCGCCACGCGGGTTTTCAATTCCGCGGAGACTGGGAGGCGACGCCTGGCGAGCCCGAGACGTTTTCGCATGAGGTCCACAGGTTGCGCGCCACGGCAGACGCACGCCTTCAGCATGAGGCGGCGTCTTTGGGGCCCCGCGGGCGCCGGCCAACCCCGCGCATGACCGAACTCGCTACGTGTGGTTTCCAGCGCTTCGTACGCTGACCAAGGAGCTTCTCTTCACGCAGCTGCGCGGTGGGGCCGCTGGCTGCGCGCGATGTCAAAAAAAGGCTCATCCTTCTTCTCCTTGCGCCCCCCGCACCTACCCGCCCCCCTCCCCGTGCCTCCCCTGGGAGCTCTACCTCGCCCTCCTCGCTGGGCCCCGCTTTTTCCTACCCGACCGAGGCGCGCACGCTCTTCGCAGAACCTACTAAGAGTCGTAGGCGTTCGTCGTTGCCCTCCCCCTCCCCTGCGCCCCCCTCCCCGTGCCTTCCCAGGGCCCCCCTCTCCCTTCCTCGCTGGGCTATGCTTCCTCCTGCAGGATCGGGGCGCGCGCAGTCTGCGCAACACCTATTGAAAGTCCTGGGTCTTCGTCCTTACCCCCAGTTCCCCCCCGCCGCCCTCCCCGTGCTTCCCCCGGGGACCTCTGCCTCCCTTTCCTCGCTGGGCTACGCGTTTCCCTCGAGGATCGGGGCACGCGCGCCCTTCGCAAAACCCATTCGAATTCGTAGGTCTGCGTCCTCACCGCCCGTTCCTCCCTGCCCCCTCCCCGCGCCTCCCCGGGGAGCCCTGCCTTCCCTTCCTCGCAGGGCGATGTGTGCTTTCCCCACGGTAGCTGGGCACGCACGCTCTGCGCTAATCCGGTTGCAAGTCGTAGGCCTTTGTCCTTGCCCCCCCTTCCTCCCCGCCTCCCGCCCGGTGCCTCCCCGGGGAGCTCCCCCTCGCCTCCGTCGTTGGGCTATATGCTTCTTCCCCGCGGAATCATCAAGGCGCGCACACTCTGCGCGAGGCCTGTTCGAACTCGTAGTCTTCGTCCTTGCCCCCCGCTCCTCCCCGCCACCCTCCCCGCGCCTCCCCGGGGGGGCCCTTCCCTCCCCCGTTCTTCTTGGGCCGCGCGCTTTCCCACGGGATCGGGGCGCGCGCACTCTGCGCGACACCTTGTAGACGTCGCAGGTCGTTGTCCTTGCCCTCCGCCGCTCCCCGTCCCCCCCCCCCCGCGCGCCCCGACGACCTCTCCCTCCCCTTTCCGTGCTGGGCCGTGCTCTTTCTCTCTCTCTCTCTCTTTCTCTTTTTTTTTTTTCTCTCTCTCTCTCTCTCTCTCTCTCTTTCTCTCTCTCTCTCTCTCTCTCTTTTTCTCTTTCTCTCTCTCTCTCTCTTGCAGGACTGAGGCGCGCACGTTTCGAACAAGACCTATAAGACATCGAAGGTATTCGCCCTTGCCTCCCCGCCTCTCGCCGCCCCTGGTCCCCGTGCCGCCCCGGGAAGCTCCCCCTCGCAAGCCCCGCTGGTCTGTGCGCTTTCCTACAGGATCGGGGCGTTCGCGCGCTGCGCAACGCCTACTCGACGTCGTGGGTGTTCGCCCTCGCCCCCTGGCCCTCCGCACGCCCCCGCGCACCCCCGGGGGGGGGCTGCCCCTCCCCCTTTTTCCTGGGCCGCGCTCTGCCCCGCAGGATCGGGGAACGCGTCCTGCACACAGCGGATGAGAAGTCGTGGGTTCTCGTCGTTCCCCCCCGCGCTTCCCTGAGGAGCTCCCCCTCCCACGCTTCGCTGGGCCGCGCTGTCTCCTGCAGGGCCGGGGCGCGCACGCACTGCGCAAAACCCGTCAGAAGTCGCAGGTGCTCGCCCCTCCTCCCCGCCCCTCCCCGCCCCCTTCCCCGCGCCTCCCCGGGGAGCTCCCCCCTCGCACTCGTCGCTGGTGCGTGCGTTTTCTTACAGGATCGGGGCGCCCGCGCGCTGCGCCACACTGTTCGAATTCTTCGCTTTTGCCCCCCGCTCCTCCCCGCCCCCCCCCCCCGCGTGTCCCCGGGAGCTCCACCCCCCATCTCCCCTCGCTGCGCCAGGTGTTTTGCTACAGGATCTGGGCGCGCACCGTCTGCGCAACAGCTACTCCCAGTGCCGAGTTTTCGCTCGGGCCCCTCTCCGAAACTTCCCGCCCGCCCCCCCTTGCGCCATTTCCCCCCTCGTCAGCTACAGCGCTGGGACCAGCGCGTGCGAGAAGGGCGAGCAGTGGCAGCAGGCGCTGGCGCTGCTGAGCGAGATGCGGGAGGCGAAGCTGGAGCCCAACGTCATCAGCTGCACAGCCGGGATCAGCGCATACGAGAAGGGCGAGCAGTGGCAGCGGGCGTTGGCGTTGTTGAGCGAGATGCGGGAGGCGAAGCTGGAGCCCATTGCCATCTCTTCTACAATGCAGGGACCCGCGCGTGCGAGAAGGTCCTCTGTCTTGAGTGCCTTCCGGGGCCCTCCCGGGCGCCCTCAGGGGCGCAGATGCCCCCAAAACGGCCTCAGGATGGCTCCGAGAGGCTCCAGGGGGCGCCAAGACGGCCTCAGAGCACCCTTGGGGCCCCTAAGACAGCCTTGGAGGCCCCCAAGGCACGCCAGGAGGCTCCCAAGACGGCCCAGGAGGGCCTCCAGGAGAGCCCCAAGATGCCAAAATCGTCCCATTCCCGACGGGAAACGCGCACATATTCACTATGCTCCGTTTTTCCGTCCCCACAACGTCCAAGACGGCTCTTCAGGCCCCCCACCTCGCCCCAAGACGCGCCCAGAGACCCCCGAAAGGCTCCACACGGCCCCGGGACGGTTCCAGAGGCGCCCGAGACGGCCCAGGACGCACCCAAGACAGCCCCAAGAGCAGCCAAGAATGGCCAACGGGACAGCTCCGAGAGGCTCCATGGGGCGCCAAGACGGCCTCAGAGCACCCTTGGCGCCCCAAGACAGCCTTAGAGGCCCCCAAGGCAGGCCAGGAGGCTCCCAAGACGGCCCAGGAGGGTCTCCAGGAGAGCCCCCAAATGCCCAAATCGTCAGTCCCGACGGGCAACGTACATTTTCAACATATCTTGCTTTTTCGTCCTCGCAGCGTCCAAGACGGCTATACGGGCCCCCCAGCTCGCCCCAAAACGCGCCCAGACGCACCCAGGAGGGCTCCCAAACGGCCCCACACAGCCCCGGGACGGCTCCAGAGGCGCCCAAGACGCACCCAAGACAACCCCAAGAGCAGTCAATAATGGCCCAAGACGGCCCCACCGCCCCGTCTCCAAGACCGCTGTACAGGCCCCCACCGCCCCCGTCGCCAAGCCTTTCCGTTCGGACAGTCTCCAAGACGGTCTTTGGTCCGTCCGGGACGGCTCCAGAGGCGCCCGAGACGGCTGAAAACACCAAAGACAGCCCCAAGAGCGCCCAATATTGGCTCAAGATGGCCCCAAGACTGTCCCAAGATGGGTCGAGAGGCGCCCAAGACGGCCCCACATCGCCCCAAAACGGCCCAAGACGCACTCCGAGAGACCCCCAGGAGGACGAAAAGAGGCCCCCAAGAGGCCTCCAAGAGGCCTTGAATGCGTCTCTCTTGGGGAGCGTCGAACTTCCAGCATCGTCTTGGGGGCTTCTTGGACCCTCTGGTGGCCATCTCTGCGCCATTTGGGGACGTCTTGGGGCGGGGCGCTCGAAAGGTCGATTCGTGTCCTCGCACTGGGGTCCGTCTTAGGGAGTTCCGTCTCGCCGCCCGCTTGCGGGCCTCCTAGGCCGCGCCCACTGGCCCCATTGTCACCACACTACCAGATAAAACCATCATTCGGCCCCGGCGAAGAGCAGATAAACTTCTCACGGCTACTCTCCCCGCAGAAACTATGATGAACAGAGACTGCGGCGTCAGAAACAGCTTCTGTCCACACCATGTCATGCCTGCATGGGTGTGCTTCCACTGACACCGCCTCCACCACCGCGTTCCTGCCTTCAGGCCTGCTTGCCTGCATCCATCGCCCACCTCCCCCTCCAGCGGCCACCTCCTCCATCCACGCCGTCCCCTCCAACCTCCCCTTACCCGCGAGGCCCCAGAGACGCTCCACTTCCACGTCCACGCCATGGCGGGCAAATTCCGCGGCCGGAAGGCCGAGGGTCAGCCCTAGTCAGCTACAGCGCTGGGATCAGCGCGTGCGAGAAGAGCGAGCAGTGGCAGCGGGCGCTTGCGCTGCTGAGCGAGATGCGGGAGGCGAAGCTGGAGCTCAACGCAGCCAGCTACAGCCCTGCGATCGTCGCTCTGCTCTCTGCTTCGCAGAAGCGATGCGACAGGCTAATTAGGCAGCTTCAACGATGGCAGCGGACCCTGGCTCTGTTCAGCGAGATGCGCGAGCCAAAGCTACAACGCTGGGTTCAGCGCGTGCGCGAATGACGAGCAGTGGCAGCGTGCCCTGGCGTTACTGAGCGAGATGCGGGAGGCGAAGCTACAGCTCAACGCAGCCAGCTACAGCCCTGCGATCGTCGTTCTGCTGCGGAGAGACGATACGACAGGCTAGTCATCCACAACGCTGAGGAACAACGCGTGAGTGTAAGGTGGTCAGTGGCCGCGGGCTCTGGCGCTGTTGAACGAGATGCGGGAGGCGATGTTGGGAGTCGGACGTTATCATATTTTTAGCGCTGTCATCACTGGGTGCAAGAAAAGACGAGCATTGGCAGCCGACGCAGGCGCTGTTCAGCGAGATGCGGGAGGCATTGCTGGAACCCAATGCCATCACCAACTGCAGCGCTGGGACCAGCGCGTGCTGGCAGGGCAATCAACGGCAGCAGGCTCCGTTGCTGCTCAGCGATGCGTGGTAGGTGAAGTCGGACCCCGACATTATCAGTTACAGCGTTCGGATCAGTGCGTACGACAAGGGCGAGCCGTAGCAGCGTAGTTCGGCGTTGCTCGGCCAGATGCGCGAACCTTGGAGCCCAGCGCCATCTTTATCACCGCGACGGGATCAGCAGTTGCGAGGAAGGCAAGCAGTCGCAGCAGGCCTTGTCGCTGACCTGAGCAACGTGGGAGGCAAAACTGTAACCCGGCGTCATCCGCTACAGCGCTTGGATCAGCGCGGGTTGGAAGGGCGACCAGCGGCAGCGCTCAGGGAGACGTGGAAAGCGGCACTGGAGCCCGCCGTCGTCAACTACAACGCTGGGATTACGGCTCGGACGTTACTCGGGGAGATGTGGGAGGCGAAGTTGAATCCGAGCGTCCTCAGCTACAGCGCTGGCATAAGCGCGTGCGGAAGAGGCTAAGAGGGGCTGCGGGCTCAGTCGTTGCCCAGCGAAATGTAGGAGGCAAAGACAGGGCCCAACATCAGCAGCTGCAAAGTTGGAGTTAGCTTGTGCGAAAAATGCCAGGCCACAGAACGTGCGAAGGGTGTGCCAGAATAGGTGAGGCGGACGCGTGCGGGCTGCGCCGCTGGGACATTTGGTGGAGCCCCCTATGGTGCCACGAAGCGTGTGAGGGGTGTGCCGACATGGGTGGGGCGGACGCATGCGGGCTGCGCCACTGGGGCCCTCGGTGGAGCCCGCTGTTAGGCCACGAAGCGTGTGAGGGGTGTGCCAGAATACGTGGGGCGGACGCGTGCGGGCTGCGCCGCTGGGACATTCGATGAGGGCCCCTTTTATGAGGTGCCGACATGGGTGGGGCGGACGCATGCGGGCTGTGCCGCGGGGACATTCGGTGGGGCCCCCGTTGGAGCCACGCGTGAGCGGCGTGCTGAAATCATTAGGGGCGGACGCATGCGGGCTGCTCCATTGGGGCCTTCGGTGGAGCTCCCTGTTGGGCCACGGAACGTGTGAGGGGTGTGCCGAAATAGGGGGGCGGACGCATTCGGGCTACACCGCAGCCCCCATATCGGGCCACGAAGAGCGCGAGGGGCGTGCCGACATTGGTGGGTCGGCCGCATGTGGATCCCGCCGCTGGGACCTTTGGTGCGGTTCCCAATGTGGCCACGAAGCGTGTGAAGGTCGTACCGACATGGGTGGGGCGGACACATGCGGGCTGCGCCATTTGGGCTTTCCGTGGGGTTCCTTCTGGGGCCACGACATACGTGAGGGGTGTGCCGAAATAGATTGGCGGACACACGCGGGCTGCGCCATTGGTGCCTTCGGTGGAGCTTCCCATGTGGCCACGAAGCATGTGAAGGGTGTGCCGACATGGGGCGGGGCGACGCATGCGGACTGTGCCACTGGGGCCTTTGATGGAGCTCCCCATGGGGGCACGAAGCTTTTGAAGGGTGTGCCGAAATGAGGCGTGGGGGCGCATGCGGGCTGTGCCACTGGAGCCGTCGGTGGAGCTCCCTATGGGGGCACGAAGCGTGTGAGGGGTGTGCCGAAATGGGGCGGAGGGACGCAGGTAGAGTGTTCCAATGGAGCCTTTGGTGGAGCCCTCAATGGGGCCACGAAACGTGTGAGGGGTGTGCCGAGATGGGGCGGGGGTACGCATGTGGACTGTGCCGCTGGGGCCTTCGGTGGAGCGCCCTATGGGGCCACGAAGTTGATCAGATGAGACAGAGCCCTGAAGGCGGTTCGTTGAGGCCTAGTCTAGGCCTCCCTCGGACGTTTCGGAGAGAGCCGAGGCGTCAGACAACTCGCCTTCGGCATCCTTTGCGCAAAGGCGCTTCCCCAGCGGGCCCGACTGGGCTGGTCGGCCTTGCCAGAGGCCACATCCTTTTGAAAACAGTCTGTGTATAAACCACCCTCCTGGTGTCGCTCAGGGATCTCTGGCACTCTTGCCTGAGCCCCGCTTCTAGTTTGGCCGAAAAGAAAACCCTCAAGCCCCACGTATCCAGCGAGGAGCAGGAGGAGCAGGAGGAGCAGGAGGAGGAGCAGGAGCAGGAAGAGGAGGAGGAGGAGGAGGAGGAGGAGGAGGAGATGGAGGGGTGGAGGAGGAGGAGGAGGAGGAGGAGGAGGAGGAGGAGGTCTGGACTTCGCACCCCTCCGAGAGATGGTGGGATTCCCTCCGCCCCGCCCCGACCCCGGCGGCCCCGCAGGTCCTGGGGCTGCAGGCGCAGGTGCCAGGACTGCCAGGCGCCCTCCTGCCCGCGCACCAGTTGCTCGGGGGGTAGGAGGCGGAGGAGGAGGAGGAGGAGGCGGTGGAGGAGGCGGAGGAGGAGGCGGAGGAGGCGGAGGAGGAGGAGGCGGAGGAGGGGGCCTCAGTCAGTGGGGATTTGGGGTCACCGCGCTGGTTTCGGACGCGGGTTGTTCTCCGAGGACGTCTCGGGCGACCAGGACCTCCGAGGTTCCGAGGCCGTGCGGTGGCGGACCGCGCGGTGAGGTCGTTGGGGATTCCGAAGCCCACGCAGTCCGCCATCCCACGAGTTTGGGGCCGCGAACAGACGACCAACGTCTTGACAAAAATGCAAGACGCAGGTGTTTCGCCGATTTCGACTTCTGAGGGCCCTCGCCAGGCACCGGGGCCGCCAGAAAAGAGCTCTGGATGAAAAGCCCGCTCCGAGGAAATGGTCTTCCTGGGAACCCACTTTGCGAAGGACCCAACCCGATGCAGTTGTGAGTACCGTCTTTGTGAGTGTCGCCTTCGGTGGGTCTCTTTCTGGGGCCACGAAGCGCGTAAAGGGTGTGCCGAAAGGGGGTGGGGACGCCATGCGGGCGCTGCCAACGGGGCCGTAGTCCTTCTGGGGCCACGAAACGTGTGAGGGTGTGCCGAAATGGGTAGCGGGGACGCGTACAGACTGCGCCAGTGGGACCATCGGTGGAGCTCCTTGTTGGGCCACGCAACGCGTGAGAGGTGTGCCGACATGGGTGGCGTGGACGCATGCGGGCTGCGCCACTGGGACCTTCAGGGGAGCTCCGATGGGTCCACGAAGCGTGCAATGGGTGTGCCAAAATTGGTGGAGGGGACGCATGCGGGCTGCGCCCCGGGGACCTTCGGTGGAGCGCCTTATGGGGCCACGAATCGTGTGAGGGTGTGCCAAAACGGGTTGCGGGGGCGCATGCGGGCTGCGCCACTGGGACCTTCGGTGGAGTTTCATCCCTATGGGGCCACGAAACGTGTGAGGGGTATGCCGAAATTGGTGGCGGGGCCGCATGCGAGCTGCGCTACGGGGATCTTCGATGGAGATCCATCCCTATGGGCCCACAAAGCGTTTGAGGGTGTGCCGACATGTTGCGTCGGGGCGCATGCGGGTTACGCCACTGGGACCTTAGGCGGAGCTCCCTGTGGGACCACGAAACGTCTGAGGGGTGTGCCGAAATGGGGTGGCGGGGACGCATGCGGGCTGCGCCACTTGGATTTTCGGTGGAGCCCTACGGAGCCACGAAACGCGTGAGAGGTGTGCCAACACGGGCGGCGGGGGCGCATGCGTGCTGCGCCACTGGAAACTGCGGGGCAACGGGTCCACGAAACGTGTGAGAGGTGTGCCGAAATGGGTGGCGGGGACGCATGCGGGCTGCGCCACTTTGACCCTCGGTGCAGCTCCCGTTTGGGCCATGAAGCGTGTGAGGGGTCTCTCGACAGGGTAGCGGGCTCGAATGCACGATGCGCCGCTGTGACTTTCGGTGGAGCTCCCCATGGGCTATGGGGCCACGAAGCGTGTGAGGGGTGTGCCGAAATGGGTGGCGGGGACGGGTGCGGGCTGCGCCTTGGGGACCTTCGGTGGAGCTCCCCATTGAGGCCACGAAACATTCGAGGGGTGTGCCGAAATGAGTGGCTGAGACGTATGCGAGCTGCGCTACTTGTACCTTCGATAGAACTCCCTATGGGGGCACAAAACGTGTGAGGGTTGTGGCGATGATGGTGATGGTTACGACGCTGATGACGATGCTGATTATGATGACGGTGAAGGTGATGTTGGTGATGATGATGTTGGTGTTGCTGCTGCTGTTGACGATGACGACGACGATGACGATGGTGGTGTTGATGACGATAATGATGGTGATGATTATGACTATGATGATGATGATGATGATGATGATGATGATGATGATGATGATGATGATGATGATGATGATGATGATGATGATGATTATGATGATGCTGGTGATGATGCTGATGATGGTGATGCCAATGTTGATGATGATACTGATGATGATGGTGATGATTATGGTGGTGGTGAGGGTGATGATGATACTGACGACGACGACGACGATAATGATAATGATAATGATAATGATAATGATAATGATAATGATAATGATGATGATGATGATGATGATGATGATGATGATGATGATGATGATGATGATGATGATGATGATGATGATGATGATGATGATGATGATGATGATGGTGACGATGGTGACGACGACGATGGCGAATATGTTTACCATGCTGATGATGACGATGCTGATGAGGATGAAGATGACGGTGATGGTGATGGTGATGACGATGGTGATGATGATGATGATGATGATGATGTTGATGATGATGATAATGATGATGATGCTGCTGATGATGATGATGACGACGGGAGGAAGAGGGAAGGGGGGGGGGCGAGGCGGGCAGGAGGAGAGACGCGGGTCGCTGTCTCTTCAAAGCGAGGACCCAACACCGCAGGATGGCTGGGAGA